GAGATTTTATTTCCACCATGGCTGTGCTATCTAGAGGACTTGCACAAGAGAGCCAGTTGCACATCCTGCCCAGGTCCTTCATCAAAAAGACCATCAAAGATAGGCACTCAGTTGGTTGTACATCACCCTGCACATGGAAGGATTGTCAGTTCAATTTCTGGTTTGAGGCACATGCCCCAGCTGTGGGTTCAATCCCCACTGTGGGGCATTCCAAAGGCAGCCTGATCTATATATTGATGTTTCTCTCTCTCCTCCTCTTTCTTCCCCTCTCTATAAAAATTAAAGATCTACGAAAAGAGAAAGAAAGAAAGAAAGAAAGAAAGAAAGAAAGAAAGAAAGAAAGAAAGAAAGGAAGAAAGATACTGTGTATTATAGATTCAGAATCACATGAAAAGAGGCCGAATTATTTTTCTTTTTTCTTTTTAAAATATATTTTTATTGATTTTTTTACAGAGAGGAAAATAGAGGGGTAGAGAGTTAGAAACATCGATGTGAGAGAAACATGAGAGAAACATAGATCAGCTGCCTCTTGCACCCCCCCCCCCACTAGGGATGTGCCTGCAACCAGGATACATGCCCTTGACCAGAATCAAACCGGGGACCTTTCAGTTCGCAGGCTGAAGCTCTATCCACTGAGCCAAACCAGTTTCGGCCTAATTCTTAATATAATTCTTTAATATGACTTTGGGAATTTCAGTTATTTTTTTCTAAATTATCTTTTTGCAAACCTTCCTAGCTTTCCCTATGAAGAATACAAAATTTAATGTTAGAAAATCTCTTACCCCAATCACCACACAACCTCAATAGTTGGCTCTCAAAAGTAAGGTAATCTGCTCTTTATAATCTGTTTCAATGTCCTAAAACCCTTTGGTTTAAACTTCCTAATTCTTCCCATGGCGTTTCTCCCAGTAAAACCAACAAACACCACAATCATTTATCATTGTCAGCTCTAACTTTTGTCCTGCGTCCACAATTACATCCCGTTTGATCATGCTTACAGGAACATCACAACTAGTAAACCAGTGTATTCTTCACCATTCATTTTTAAATGCCCTCAGGGAAAATCCAGTAATGTGGAGGGTTACAAATTGATGACTCTCGTGTGTTTGGGGGTTCGTCTCAGTTGTTGTGTAATGGCTTTTTTGCTGAATTTCTTGATCCAGATGGGACCGATGTTTTACCTTCTTGTCTATCCTTCTAATCTTGGCCCTTCTAACATTGTTTTCCCGTGGCTCCTTTCTTTTGTTTGTAAATAACGGCCATGCCTGGTTACATAGTTCCTGTAACAGGTGTTGACCAATTGGGACACATTTGAGGAGGCTATGGAGCTGTCCTTATGATACATTAAAAGCTTGTGGAGGAGTACACCTCACGTGATGGTGCCATCTAATGAACAGGGATATGATTTCTCCCTTGAGATTTTTCTCAGGACAGTACTCACTTAGTAATTTGGAGAACTGTGCGTGACATAGCTCAGTGTTGAATTGGGCCTTTGACATCATCCAGCATGAATTTGAAAATATCTTTGCCACTCTGCTCAGCAGGAGAGTTTTCTGTTTGCTTATTGTTTTCCTTATGCTAATTACTTACTCCAATTTTCAGCAGTTTTTGAGGTCAATTAATTTGATTCTAAACAACTCTTTGTTCCTTTTGTTTTGCAAGGAGACTGAAGGCAGCAGTAACTAGGAAGCCTAAATAAACATAATTAAACATAGATGCTTATAGTGATACTAAAATTGACCTCAGCCAATTAAAATTATTAATAGAAAAAAGTATGTCAATGTCAAATCTGAGCTTACTGCCCCTGTTCCCACATGGATAATGAAGATAAGTATATATTTCCTGACAAGAATAGATGGGAATTCACATTTTTTTAATCCTCAACTTTGTCTTTCTAGGGTTAGCATTGTATTAGACCATAATAAAAAAATAAGAAAAGGTCAAAATTCAAAATTAGCCGGGACTGGTTTGGCTCAGTGGATAGAGCATCGGCCTGCAGACTGAAAGGTCCCGGGTTCGATTCCGGTCAAGGGCATGTACCTTGGTTGCGGGCACATCCACAGCGGGGGGTGTGCAAGAGGCAGCTGGTCGATGTTTCTCTCTCATCTACATTTCTAACTCTCTGTCCCTCTCAATTCCTCTCTGTGTAAAATCAATAAAATATATTATAAATAAATAAATAAATAAATAAATAAATAAATAAAATTTTTAAAAATTCAAAATTAATTTTTAAGCCCCCAAAGTGAAATAGGGAGCATTTTCTTTTCAAGCAGTGAAGCTTTTCTTCAGCATCACCATGGGAAAATAATTTGTAAAAAGTTTGACCTTAGACCTTGAACATTCTAGATGTTACCTGAATTAAACAAATAAAAAACATTTAGAATTCCATATAAGGCACTGGTACAACTTTAGTTCATCTTGGTGTCATTGCTTTTGAATTTAAGATGCACTTTTAAGGCAAGTGTTTTAAGTCTGGTAAAACACTATAATTACAACTCAAAGTTTGTAAGCACTCAGAAATGTCAAGAGGTCTGATTCATTAGAAGGTTTATCTAAATTGGCAGTTGATCTTTAAAAAAAAAAAATTCTAAATATTTCTGCTACTTCTGACTCTTCTGCCGTTTCCTCAGTGAAACTGCACCACACACTGGAAAGTAAAGATACAAACACTTATTTGAATAATGTCAAGGAAAAGTAGAAAGAAGAAGATTGGCCACAGACACAACCAGAGTCTCAGAAATGAGAACACCTTTTCTCCTCCTCCTCCTCCTCCTCCTCCTTCTTCTTCAGCAGAAATGCAGATGTGGCAATGTGAACTGAGCAGGTAAAAGATTGGCCATCATTTCTAATCGAGCAGCATTGAGAAGGCTGCTAAGATTCCTGCTGTTCACTTGCCAGATATTTTTCAGGAAGGGAGTAAATTGCAACTGAACTTAAAAACCTTTAGGAGCCGAAGCTGGTTTGGCTCAGTGGTAGAGCATCGATCTTCGGACTGAAAGGTCCCAGGTTTGATTCAGGTCAGGGGCATGTACATTGGTTGCAGGCACATCCCCGGTGGGGTGGTGTGCAGGAGGCGGCTGGTTGATGTTTCTCTCTCATCGACATTTCTGGCTCTCTATCTCTCTCCCTTCCTCTCTGTAAAAAAATCAATAAAATATATATATTTTTAAAAACCTGGAGGAAAGAACTCATTTTCAAGCAAACGTAAAGCTGGAGAGTGAGCATCTGTTTGAAGCTATCATAAAGTTTAATAAACACACACACACACACACACACACACACACACAAGTTTAGGGTAGGACTCTTCTTGTGTTTTATAAAGTAGTACAAGTATTTCTTATTTACTTATAAAGCCAGCCTCTTAAATGGTTTCACAATATTAAAAGGAACTGTGTCTGCATTCAGCCCACACCCCTGGGAATCAATATAGAGGTTCTTTGAGGGGGGCAAGCCCAGATTCATGCCCTCTGTCCTTTATTGCTTCTGGCTAGCCTGCATATTTCACATACATTGACTGTTCCCTAATAAACATCACCATCTGTGCAGTAGGGGAATTTGTATTGGTCATGTGTTCCGTCAAGTTGACAGAGGTGCAAAGCTAAATGTGTAACACTCTAAGAATATGCGTATATTTGAATAATTTGACTCTTCGGTCCAACAATTTGCCAAGATGCTCTGGATCATCACACCTCCTGATAACACTTCCAAGGAACAAATAGCTTCGCTTATTTTGGAGTGGGGATGTTCTAGCTGGAGTTCCTGAGTCCATTGGCATTTAGTCACGTGACTTGGGCGCCCTCCCCCACCCTCTTCCCCCCCCCCCCCCCCCCCGTGACACTGAGCTTCTGGTTCTTCGTTTATAAAATGAGAATAATATTTTCTGTCACTGGTCCTTCGACGCTTTAAAACAGCTAATAAAAGCGAACTCATTTTGTTAACTGTAAATCCTTAGGTAAACTGAACTGAGTATATATTAACATTATATATATTCGGTTCCACAGCACATTCTTGATAACCGCAAGAGGGTCCAGGAAAGGAAACTGTTTATAAATCTTCCCCTTTCCCCAAATTAAGGTTGGAGTGTTTAGGGAAATTCTTACAGCAATTATTAGGTCAAATGTCTTTGAGAGTTCAGAAAAAAATGCACATACACACAAAACTGCCTACCCCAAGGTGGGAGGGGGATGGGAGATTCCTCTGGCTCCATTTTGTATCTTTTAAGAAAGAGTATTTCTTTAAAGCGTGACCTCAGGTTTTCTGCATCTGAATTGTTTGGGGTTCCCGTTCAATCGAACCCCTGGACCCTGCCCCACCCCCACTAAGTCACCTTGTCTGGAAGAGAAATCTGCATTTTAACAGGCACCCAGGTGATCTTCGTGCTGGGAGCAGGTCCAGTGACTCCAAGTTAAGTACTGCCCTCCTGTTCCTTGTTCTGAAATGTAAGGTCTGTCCTCGCGCGTACGGTCGAACTAATGGGAAGAAAACTCAGCTTTAATGCAGGAACCTCCGTAGACGCTCGGCAGCGTTCTTCCAGTGGCAAATTGAAATTGGTCCTTGGACCCTAGCCACGTTCATTCTCTCCAAGGGTCTGGGCCACTGGCAAATATGAACGGGAAAGACTTGTTTGCTAGCAGAAAAGCTAGGGGGAGGGGATGGGCGAGGGGAGGATCCACTGAGCCAATTGCTCCCTCCACTCCACCCTCCCAACCCCCCCCCCCCCCTTAAAACAGAAGGCTTTTTATCCTTGCTGCCCAGGTTCATCATTTAAAAGGCTTGCTTTATGTGTGTAAGTTTGCTGTGGAGGGAAGTGAAAACATCTGCAAAGCCATGCGATGCCTGGAACGGAACTCTTCTAATAAAAGATGTATCATTTTAAATGCGCTGAATTCTGATTCTGGTAATTCGTGCACTAGAGTGTCTATTTCGAGGCAGCGGAGGTATCATATGACAGCGCGCGTCAAGGCACCGTGGAGCCCTCTCGTGGACTCCCACCCACTTTCCCATTCACCGCCGCCAGGGCTGCTGGCGCTGCCGCTCCCCCCGCAGGCGGGCGAGCATGACATCTCCCTGCCTCCGCCGAGATCAAATGGAGCTCCGCGCTCAGGGGGTGCGAGTGTTCCCTCCGCCATGCGAGTTCCACGGTCAATAATTTAACTTTGCTGCAGAACCAGGAGTACGGACCTGGTACCCACGACTTGCGCCCCCCACACCCACCCCCCTTCTCTTGAACGAAAGGGGACGTGGGAGAGGAAAAAAAAAATTAGTCTTGGAGTTTTGGGATCCGCGGAAGTCTTCACTAGAGCAGCTGCCTTGATGTTTACTTTGACAAGGAGTGCCTGAAAAGGTGGGTTTCTTCTATCTTTCTCTTTCCGTTTTCTTTTTCTTTTCTTTTCTTCTTTTTTTTTTCCCCCTTTTATTTGTTCAGGCTAGAAAGCTTGTGGCTCTAGCGAGCTCTCTGTCATTGCCTTGACTGCCTGGCTGGGGCAAGTAACTTGGTGTAACGCTATCTGGGGGCGTTCATGAATAAGGAATACCGTTATTATCTTGATTGGATTCCTATTAGGCAAACTCCGGGGAGGTCGGTGCGCGAACTCGCGTTCGGCCAGCGTGTTGGAGGCAGAGGGGTACACCCGTGGGCCCCCCCTCCCCACTCGGGGCACGTTCATTGTGTCCCCGCGCAGGCCGGCTCCGCGGTGCGGGAAGGTGTGTCTGTGGCCGGGGGAGCGCGCGCCCTCTCCCGCAGAACTTGGGTGCCGGGATGGGGCGGCGGGAGTTCCCGGAGAGGGGACAGCAGGACCCCTCAGGGCGCCGCAAGAGCACCCGCTCCCTCCCGCCCCCGCGCGCGCTGCCGGGGTTTCCGCCTGGGGCGCGGGACTCGGGGTTCCCCCGGGCGGGGGTTCGGGCTCCCTTAGGAGGGGCGGGCACTGCGCGCGCGTCCTGCCGAGGCGCCCAGGCGGGCACGGGACTCGTGGGGCTCCATCTCCGGGCCCCGGGGCAGGTGGGGTCGGGGGGCGCCCCGGGAGTCCCGGGGGGGTGAGCCGGGGCGAGGAAAAGGCGCGGCGTTCCCTTTAAGCGGCCGCCGTTCCCTTCCCTGCGAGCGGCCGCCCCGCACTGGTGTCGGAGGCGCGGGGGAGCGGGGCGGGAGGCGGGGGAAGAGATGGCCGGGGGAGGGGGCGGGGGGGGGGGCGGCGCCGTTGGACCAATCCTAGCGCAACCGAAGGGCTAAAGGATGTCTGACCCGAGCTCGGGGTGCAGGCTGGAGCTCCCGATCGCTGCCGCCGCCGCCCCCGGGCGCACCCTCCGGCTCGCTGTCCCGCGCCCCCCGGGCTCCCGGGCGGAGCCGAGTAGCCCCGCTCCGCGCGCCCCCCGCACCCCCCACGCGGAGCTTGGATGAGACCCTTGGACCGCAGCGGCCACCCCTGCTTTGGGGCGGGCGGGCGGCCGGCGGCTCCGCGACGGGGACCGGGCCGGGGCGCAGGGGCCGGGAGCGGGACAACGATGTGACTCCGCCGCCGCCGGGGACCCGTGAGCTCTGTATGGACCCCGAGGTAGGCGGGCGCGGGGCGCGGGGCGCGGGGCGGCAGCCGCCGGTTCGCGGGGGGAAGTTGCCTCCTCGGGGCCCCGAAGTTGTGGGAAGAGACCAGAACTTTCGTCCCCTCCAGGAGGAGAGGGTGGTGCGGAGTTGTTCCTGCGCTGCCTTCTCTCTCATCGCAAGATCCAGAGGCGCAGCCGGGACCCGCAAGGAGAGGGACCCCAGGAAGCCCTGGGGTGGGGGAGAGAAAGCCTAGGGGGAGACACGGAACTGCCCGACGGGAGCGAAGACGGCACCCCGGGGATCCCCGAAAACCTCTTCGAACAGAAGACGGGTCCCCAGAGAGATGTAGGGCTCCAGCTGTCGGGGGGCTCTAACTGAGGGGACGGGGTGGAGACTGACATATAAATCTTTCCCTTGGGTTGGGTGGTACCCGCGAAGATTTGGGGGAGAGGGGCTTGACCCCAGGGCTCCATCCGGCGGCACAGTGTCACCTGCTTCCCAGGAGTTGGGACCCATAAGGACAGATGCAGGTCCTATGCCCACGTTTGTGGGAAAACTTGAGGCACCCCCGCAGCTGGAAGCTTCAGAGGCTGCGGACCTCCGGGGCTGGCGGTGCCCACACCGCTCCCCACCCCGCGCCCCTCCTGTAGCTCTCCTTCCCGGGAAGTAAAACTTTTGTCTTTGGGGGGGAATGCCCTGACTCGGTGTGTCTCTGGGGACGTAGAGCAGGGAAGAAGGAAGGGGTGAGTGAGCTGTGCCTGGAAAGAAATAGCCCGGGGGTTGGTTGGGGGCTTTATGCCCGACGGGCAGAGCGGGAGGATTGCAGACTGGGGGGCGGAGGAGGGGGACGGGATGGGGAGGAGAGGGCCTAACGGCAGCTGGGATAACCCCCGAGTCGCAGTCGGAGGATGCTGTGTGTGTGTGTGCGCGTTGGGGTGGAGCGGACTGGAGGGACGCGGGTGGAGGGGCGAGGAGGAAGAGGGGGCGGGGAGAGCGGTGCTAGGGAAGGTCGAGGGCGCCCTCTGCCGGCCGAGCTGCCCTGAGCAGTGGCTGGGGGCGGGAGCCTGGGGGTGGGGAGGTGGGAAGGGAAGGCTTTGAGGGGATCCCTTTGGGAGCTGGTAGGAGGGACTTGTTGAATGATGCTTTCTGACTCCTCATGAATTTTGACTCCTCGCGCGTCTTTGACTCCAAAGCCATAAGTTTTCCTCGCTGGTGGGGCTTCGACAGACTGAGATTGTTGGTGTATGAGGGCTTCCTGGATCTTATTTTAAGGTTCTCCAGGTGTGATGTCAGCAGTACCCAGTGAACATTTTCTAACAAGAGTGCAGGAATGTTCTTGGCCAGAAGCAAAGAAAAGCATATTTCCGAGTGTTTATTAATTCTCCCAGCACTTTAAAGCAAAGCAATATATAATAGGGAACGTTGGTTTTTAACTGCATATAAAGCATGTTATGCTATTATGAAGCCTTCAAACTGGCCCAAATTGTTGGAAAACAACTTCTCTCTGTTTTTATCCAAAAATCTATTTTTATATGAGTTTGTGGGAAGGTCAAAAGTAATTTTGTTTATAAAATTACATTCCTATATACATATTTTTTTTTACATTTTTATTTATTGAGGTATAGTTCCAGATTTAATTTGTCTAAACATGGGAATTCTCAATGTTTACCTCATGCAGCATTATTGTTTTTATGTTGGAGGTGTCTGAGATTATGGCATATGGTGTTTCAAATTATTAAACATCATAGATCACATTGCATGTAAAAGTTATACTACAAAGTTTTGGCCCTGGGAACAAACAGCATCCCTTTAAAATAATTACTAACTCCTGTTCCCTGATTTTGCAAATACCTTGCTTAAGATTTTTCTTCTGTGAGTTAACCTTTGGACTAGCAGTAGAGGTAAGAGAAAGGAAAGAGACACTTGTTGAAATGTAACCATAACCTTTTCTGGAATTTAAAACATGTTGGTCACCATTACTGGAATTCCAGAGCCATAAAGTCGTTGTGTGTTTTTTCCTTCTACTTTATTTTGCAAAATGTGATAAATGGTGGTAAATATAGACCGATAATAAGTATTATGACAGGAAAATTGTTATGTATGTAGAGCTATTTTAAGTTGTTACAAAATGTTTCCTATTTATAAATGATATAAGCAGAAAGAAATGGTTTCCAGATAAACAAGACTTGCGTTCGTATTTTGAAACATTAGAACATTGCAGACTCACTTAGACATCACATTTTTTAAAAGCAAAATAACAGTAATTTTTCACATACCTTTGGAGCTTTTCACAGCCCATTCAGAGCTGAATTAGTGCCTGGAGATCTTACTTATTATAAAGGGATATTTAAGGTCATTTAAGATGTAGGTCAACCTTCAAGTATGGAGAAAATAAAGCATTTAGGAAATCTGCTTTAAGATGTCCTTTCAATAAGCGTTACTTTGACTTGCAAACAAAAGGAACCAAGAAAGTGATTATTTTGCCTAAAATGCAATGATCACTTCAAATGATACATTTATATCACGTGAGTTAATTGCCTAATTCTCATAATGGCCAAGGGGGTGGGGAGGTGCTAGACTATTACTATTTCATTTTCATTTATTGGTGTGTGTGTGGGGGGGGGGGGGGGGGGGGGTGTCTGTAAATGATGCAATTTTCTAAAATCCTGGCTCAAAGTCCCTGGGTTTCCTGCTTAATAGGGCACCATTCGAATGTAAATTATCCCTTCCTTCCTGGGAGCTTTGAGTCCTAGCTTTTCAATAGTGAAAATGCAGATGATTGATAATCTCATTTCTTTCAAACATAAATAGCTCTGGTTTGTTGCTCAGCTCTCACAGCACGCTGAGCACGCCCACCTGATAGTATAGCAAACAGCTTGTTCACATTTGTCTTTACAACCTTCTGCAAATAGCACGCACACCACACACTCACCTATTTCCAGGTGGCAAACTTGTGGAATGTAACAACCAGTGGCTTGGGGTCTCAGTCAGAGACTCAATCTACTAAAAGCTTCAAAAATATTTAAGACATACCTAACGCAAAGGCCTTATACAGAGTAGTTCATTACCGTTTTTAAGATTTGGGAAGTTTGTCCTAGAGTAAAGAAAAAATCAATTTTAGACTTCCTGAATGAAAACAGCATGCAGTTCAATTCTGGACATTTTTAAAAATGAAAGGCACTCTCATTTCAATTGTCCATAATACTGAATTTATGGTGATGCTTAAAACATCATTCCAGCTTGCCTCTCCCAGTGTGAAAAGATTTCCGTTTATGAGAGGGGATCACCCAATGCAAGTGCATGTATCCCTCTACTAGAGCAATTGCTGACTCGTCTCAGCTTGTTTTCAAACGATTGTTACAGAGCACTCAGTTTCCACTAATTGCAAAATTGCTGCTTAATTGAAGGACTCTCAGCCATCTAGTGCAGTCATTCACCCACTGGCAGGCTCTGTGATCTCACACTGTGAGTGCATTTTCAATAGGAAGAGAGGAGAGAATTCCAGGGAATTCTAGGTTTCACTGCTGGCTGTTTGTTCAGTGGAGGAAGAAAACATTGGAGCAAGAGTTATGTTAAGTTGCGTTGTGATATATTCTCTTTATTAGGATGAAACATATGCCCAGATGGGCTTCAGAAGGGAATGAGCAAACTCACCAGTTATGCTCTGCATCCATTTACTCTGTTTGGTATGGAGTGATGTTAAGCAATAAATGATGTTGGCAAATGAAATCCACATGCCATTTGCATGTGGGGTTGCACCCTGGAAACAGAGGAAGGCTTTAGTATTTTTAAACTCAGGCACATGTGTC